CTTTAGTTCTGTATGGTGTATATATCGCATGTAGTGCCCTTACCAAAACATACCCCACGTTTGATCGCATTGCTATCAAAACAAGCAGCTATTTTAAACTCGAGTTTGTTACAAGATGTTTATGTCGAGCTATTTACCTTTACACCGCATTGGAAAAGCTGTGATGCATCAGACTACCGTCAAAGCATGGCACCGCATGACTTAACAACACCGTCTCACAACCTGTAATATTACACTTGTTGGATTTAATATAACAATAAGGAAGGAACTCACTCATGACCATTTCATAGTATGTAGGTTTTCCTGTACGGTTGTTTGTTTCATATTGTGCGTCTAAAGTATTACTTTTTTGTAACATGACACAGCGATTATATGAAATGTATTTAGAATCAGTCTAAAACCGCCATGTGAAAGCAATTCCTTCTTTCTCGCTAAATTGTGTAAGAAATATTAAATACTGCAAGCATCGAACAGAGGTATTTTTTGTTCTGATTATTTAAAACAAACATTGCGGTGAGGTATCAAGTTTTGTGCCAGTGTATGTTGTACACCACCGCCCAAGCGACATTATTAGCTGCACGGTTGATCGAAAAGCTTTGAACATTGAAAGAATACGTTAACGCTGGGGTTTCTCTTGTTCGATTACACACAATAGCAATTGTGAATCACCTACAAGACATTTGAAAACAGATCGGGCTTTCAATTTCGCACTATATATGTTAAACAGTTTGTTAGTCTTTGAGAAATCATCCACTGCCGACCTGGTTTGACATTGTAGTGTGTCGTAATAGCGTCACCGTGGTGTCGACCAAGTTATATATCGACAGACGAATTTTCATCACATTCTTCAAATCAACCACAGTGAGCAACCAGTGGCGTACGTGCTGCCCGGTAACAATGCTGGTGATAAATTACATGATTATAATAGTGCTTCAGGTAGCGTGGAAAAAAGACAATACAACCACCGGGTTTTCAATCGGCATTAGCCGCAAATAAAAATACATCATGTTTTCCTATGTCCTTAGGGATTGTCAGGTAAAGACACTGTCTGTCAGACAATGATCGTGAACTGAAGAGAGAGATTTTTAATATGTACTTAGTTGTTGAACTCAATGTACTATGACTAATTGTAAGATTAAGTAAGTTACGTTCTTTCAAAATACACACAGTTGCAGGTTTATGGTGTATATCACATACGTTTATTTAAATCAAGGACATTAGAAAAAGATGTCTAATGTATTTGCTAAAGTGTATATCTATAACAGTCAACATATATCAAGTTAAAAATTGAACAATGGCTGTCCCGAGGACGAACATCAGGAACAAACATTATATACACCCCTGCCTGTTTTATTAATATTTGGCTTTCAAAAGAATAATTTAAAACGTTTATCTTAATGTGCCACATATCTTCTAAACACTGCCCTTCGAATCAACTGCAGAATACAACAATACGTGATAGCACTAACAACTTGAAGTTTGCAATGACGTTATTGAATATTTATGTATTATTTTGTATTCGACGACAGACAGGTTTGAAATCTCAGTTACCCCCCCCCCCCCCCATCTTTTTCCACCTTAACGATTATCATGATTTCATGATGTGTTCCGCCCACAACCACGTTTGACTTTATTGTTCTTGAAGCAAAATAAATCAGCATTATTTTATTATTGCTCTTATGACAGGATGACTGGATTCATAAATTAGTATACTAATAATTAAAAACACGTCTATATTTTCTCTACCTGTAAGACCTGTGTTATTGTCACTTACAAGCTTGAACATTTTAGTATGATGCACTGTTTCAATAAAATAGTAACCTCCTTGTAAACGTAGAACTTCATTGCTAAACAATTACTATTTTGGATGTTTTTGTAGAGTCTAATCACATTTCTATGCAAACTAGCACAATCCATGATTATTGACGACGCACAGACACTGACAAACCATAGCGCGTCCCCTTACGCACCCAAGCCCTCGTCACGTGCGTGTTAACAATACTATGAGATCGTAACACATCTTTAATGACCTTCCGTGTATGACAGAGGACGTGACATATACAACAGGCAAAAACGCAGTCAACCACGTCGCATTAGAATTGAATCGTTCAAATCGCAGAATAATAAGAAATGTACAGTAAAGTAAATGAAATCAGTTCCCGCACTTCAGTAATATTATCTCTCCCACAGAAAATTACTATATAGACGCATAAAAGACCAATCCGTTGTGCTGTTGTTAAGGAAAATAGGTTCGCTTTATGTTGCCCGTGGCAACAGTAATTGACACGTTGTGTGGGGATATATACGAAATTGGCACTGCGTGATCAGATAATATAATCATGATCGTCCGAATAAATGATGTTACTATTTATAGACTGCGAAAACGACATAATTAATGGATATTTACATCTGTTGTAAACTCATCTACCGTGCGGGTCATCCTTTGAATGCACAACATGTAGAATTTAAGAATATCGTAGCGTAGATTATAATGACTCCACCTCAGGTTATACGAATTGTCAATTTAAATCCCAGGAGGTGAGGCTATAATAGGAGACTATAGAAAGAATACCGCCAGTAACAATCCGTTACCATGGCAATGCAATCCTCTCACTCAAAACGACCCTTAGTCGCATTTAATGATGGCATTAATTAGGAAGCAACTTCTTCTGTCTAGAGGAACTTTCACGTTTAACTTAATACAATGTACACTGCGGAAAGTTAGTTCGAGTTGTACAACATACCAAATGAGACACTTGGATCGATTTATTTTCATTTAAAAACAAACCGGTGTTTATTTTGTAATATATGAAACACTGGTTAGTCAACGTTTAAGTTGACACATCGATTGCGTTTCAAAATGGCCAAGTAGGGAGCGTACGAGGAAACAATGCCTTTGTTGTAACAAAGTAGATACTGGGGTATTTATTGATTTTTGTGAATTTGTTTACTGACTCATTCTTCTAATTGACACTAATGGGTCAAAGTTTACGCACGTGTAATTATTTAGTGTTTTTATTATTCGGTGAAATACATTACAAGCACAGTCGACTCATAAGTTCACGGTTTCCAAATCGTTTGTACGTGCAGCGGATATTGAGTATTTAATTCTCGACCAGTTACATTGTCAGGATTTCTAGGGAGTTGGTCTTGCCGCAAAATTACTTCCGTTCACAGATTTTTCAGTCAGCTATCAATGCACAACGCTAAAGAAAAGTGAATGGAGGCAATAATAACCTAGCAAAGCACTGCAAATTGGTACAATTATCCTGACTTTAATTTACTAATGAACGATCAAATATCAATAAATTTAAGCTCAATATACAGAATATGCTTGGTCAGAAAATATAAAAGATGTATTCGATTAAAAAAGACTATACACTTGAAAAATGTCAATGTCATGTTGTAAAACGCAATGAATACGAGCTTTAAATTGAATACCCTGTTGTCACATAATGCACGATAACAAACGAGGATATACTCGTTCGGCTGTTATTGTATTAATAGGAAAATTATTTATGGTTGTGCAGCAATTTTTGACAATGGAGGAAATACAAAAGCACACTCATTCTGGGCGACAATTGTTCGATGTAAACATTTGTATGTCGGGTATTGTGTCTGCAGTTTTTAGTGCTATATTGGGCTGCTTGCGAGTACATCGGGTCCATTGTGTGAAGACACTGATACTGCGATGGCACGGTTAAAAAGACCACTTGTAAGTGTAATGTGGAATTAAAAAGATGGCCATGTAACGAAATCAGTAACCGTGTCGTCGCCGTAATGTCATGTTAAACAAGTACCAGGTACATGGAATTCGAAAATACGCCGGAAAGCTATTAACAGTCTTTACCACGAACCAAGTGAAGTGGCTTCAACATAATAATGGCCGCCATGAGTGCATTGGCATGTAGTACGCGGTTCGAGTTTAAATATTAGCTTTTGACACAGAGCATACAGAACATGTTGAGTCAACTATTATTTTTTTATATGGAGCTTTTTAAAAAATAAACGTAAAGTTACTTGTCAGAGCGTATCCAAATAACACAGCCAGACATATGTAAATAGGAATCTCGAATGTAGCACAATTAGAGCAAATTACAATAATATAATATAATATAATAGCGATATATTATAAACACGGCGCAGCATAATTCTGTTTTAAATTGCAAACTGAAATTTGGCTTCCGTTGTTAACCATCAGTTAAATCGATATCGTGAAGAGCAATTGTACATAGCAACGCCAATTGTAACTAAGGCATTGATTCCGCCATATTGAATATAAGGCTATCACGATGCGATATAACCTGGTAAGCCATTAAATAAACAACGGCTGTGCAGGGAATTTAGGAACTCTTGTGACTGCCAAATGGCAATAATTTAAACAATCTGTTACGTTTCATGTCAAAACAACAGTGTTTCGGATCCACGATCTTGTCCAAATGCGGTAGCCCCGGGCTGGCATTCGAAACAAGGCGAATGACTAATGATGGATGGGAACGTTCTAGTGAAGACACTGGGTTATTCAGTTGTGTATGCGACTCGTGTAATAATAGAAACACAAACACGTATTATCCTGAGTTGATTTTCTTAGCAATTATAGTGAAGCGGATAGTAACCCGTGGCTAAAAGGTATATTATGAATGGAGTAGGTGGCATTGTGTTAGCCTTGTCAACCACAGTTACCAATACAAAAATAACATGATTGTGTATATTTGAAAAAGGGAAGGATATCCGTCATCAAAAATATAAATAATAGTTTGTCTGTATGTGTGCGTGTGTGTTGAACTGCTCAGCGGACGAATTTAATAGCGAGGTGTCGAAGTTTACCGATCTGTCTGACAATGCATATTTGTATTGGTGTTATCGTTAAACCTGGAAACGCGAAATTGTATTAGTCACGTGATCCGACTAAACCTGGGTTGCGTAGCTAGTTAGTACGTGAAGGGGTCAAGTGACTAAGTCCGCACTCCAACTGAACAAAGTTCTTTTTTGTCATGTAGTCAGCTTGATCGCACATCGGCAATTACCTGGTCTGTTGCTGGGCTGTCTATGAACACGCTCTCGTCGTCGCTTGAATCGTCTGCTTCGTCTCTCGTCGACATCATGTCAGACTCAGTAACCTTCCTTCCCGGTGTGATGGTATCGAGTGAAGCAATCCTCATGATGTGTTGCCGTGAAAATGACATGGCTAATCGTACTTGTTGTAGCCAAGGTTTTTCTTTGAACGTTGAAGCAATCGCCAGAGACTCGATAGCTTTTTCTCTGGCCGAACATCCAATGATATCCTCGTATAATTTGATAGTGTTCACTGGTAGATTTACCCCCCTAGTTCCAGTGTAATAGAACGGTTTCTGTGTGGCTTCTAAACTCATTGCTGGTAGCGGCACGGTGTTCTCCACTAAAATATGGCGTCTCCATTTCTTCCTCTCTTCCATTTTCTTAGTGCGCTCATCGCTCTCCCGGGGTGATTTGTCAAGTTTAAGAGGTGGTATTTTCGCTGCTTTATGGCTTCTACGGCGTTTGCCGTCCGCTGGCGTGTTAACATAATACGCACTACTCGCATTAAAATCTGTTTCGACACCGTTTTCATCGAAGTCATAGTCATGAGAAACTGTCAAATTCTGGTGCGACGAACTCTTCATTTTTGCATGTTGTTGGTTGATTGACGGAAATTTGGTCGGACTCACCGTCACACTTCGACTTCTCGGTCGCCATTCCGAGTGCTTCGATCTTTTTTCGGCCACTTGTTGTTTGTATTTTGCCACTAAGCTGGGAACTGTTTCCCCGTTTAATCTCGGAAGCTTATTTTCCGGAGACGTTGGCGACAAAGAAGATGTTTCCCCTGTAGCAACACTGCTACGTACAGTACTTGCATGATGCACACTATTAACACTCAAGGATTGCATATGCGGAGATTTTTTTACTAATCCAAGCGCTTTACATTTGATCTTATTGTAGCTTTTGGATCTGGGACTAGCATTCTGTCTGCTTTCCGTGAATCCATCTATGTGAACACCTTGCCCACACAGGGCGCCATTTTGCCTATAAGGACGGCGTATTTTTAGGCTAGACTTTTCCGCTCCGTAAATTAACATAACTCTATCTTTCGCTCGGTCGCACCATCTTCTCACTTGCGAGTAAATAGTTAAGGGCAATGTAACCGCGCTGTATGTGACGCTAGACCATTGCTTGGTTAACAAATACAAAGCCACTTCCCTCTGTTGTTTTCTCAGAGCAACGCTCAAGGGGGTCAAACTGTTTCCATCTTTACACGTAACGCAACAAATATTATGAAAAACAAAAATTCTCAGAATCTGTAACTGTCCGTGTTCCGCCGCTTCGTGTATGGGTGTTTTGTAGCTTTCAATATGCGTACTGCTACACCACTCTCTCGTTGGGTGATCTCCGATTGGTTCGTCTGAACGTACACCCTGTCTCAGCATAGTAGAAGCTAGATCCATGTGTCCGTGATGTGCAGCGATGAACAACGCAACACGGCACTGGAACTTGGCCACATGTTCATCTGCCGAGAGATGTTTCGTCACTTCCGATGTATGTCCGATAGAAGCAGCCTTTAAGAATTCGTTCCAGCCGTCCCACGTTAACATACGTACCGTGGAACCGAACTCGATACCGTACGTATCAAGTGAATTCAAGTCAAACATATCAGTTCCATCTTCCGTGACTACCCGAAATACACTCACGGGTAGACCACTACGTCGCACTATTAATGTCTTCAATTCGGCTACAGTAGTCTGGAGAGGGTGAATATCATCCAAAATTTCAATCGTTTCGCCGTTGAATACGGAGTACACATACAATTTAGGCTTAACGTCTTCCCGTACGCTGACCTTTAACGTGGCACCTGCGGACACGCCGATGTCACTCAGATACCAATCATCGGCCAGATCTGAGCCATGGTAATTTAACACAACAAACTGGCCACCACGGGTATCTAACTGAAACACCTCAGTCGCTTTAAGTTTCAACGAGCCGACATCGTCGTTGGGTTTCACGTCCAACGAGTGTCGGCGATCTTCGTAAGACACAAAAATCCGCAAGCTCATATTGGCAGTGTTATTCACAAAATCAAACTCTCATAAGGTTTAAATTCTAGCTCGTCACGTGACCGAGCTCCAATATTCAGCGTTGCCAAGGTATTGCCGCAATGCTTTCTCAGTCGAGGAACTAGTATACGACTCGGTTGTTTACATCTCACATGTATACAGCATTCAATGTTCCGATAAGTACACTAGCATTGCTGTCCAACGCCAATGTCACCGACAAGATGCCATAAGCAGACACAGAAAATGTTGTAAACAACGCGTAAATATATATTATGTATACGCCAAACTCTCACCTCGAATCAATAAATATCCAAGCTTGCCATAGCGAGTCTCGTCTGCAATGTGCTGGGTAGAGCCGAGTTTGTCTTTCTATTGTACACGACACTTTTATTGATTTTGCATGCCGACCAATGACAGGCGACCAGAGCGTAGCACACAAACGAATAGGCAATAAGGTAGAGATAGGTTGATCGGGTTGTGTACCGCCTACTTTGCAACCAATCCACACACAACACAAACAACAATAAACTACGTTGTACAAATACAAATGATTAAAACAGCCATCATTGGCATTTATTTATAACATTGATAATGATAATTGGTTTGAAAATATTCCCAACGTATTATACGGAGACGGGGTTTTGTTGGCAATTTGCCGGTTATTGGATCAAACTAAACTGGTCTATCGTTCCTTATTAAGTACTGCGCGGCGCCCTTCTAATAAATCGCCGTATTCCCATTGACACGGGTAATAAATGTACATTTAAAGCACGATCGTAAATTTAACGTCTCCACCGGCATCCCTGTCATATTCAGTTCACATCGTATTTTGAGTAACTACAACGCGGGTTTATATCACCCGTTATCCGTTTGGAATGGTATCTGTCGCCATTGTACATACTCAGAGTACCGGTTTAAGTATTAATCTGAGCAACACAAAAGCTATTTAAGAACAGAATGGTTAATCCTTTCAGCGCGCTCCAAGAAACCATTGACATAAACCATGAGTGAATAGTGGCGCTCTTTGCAATGCAGCAACGTGTCTGCGGGGCACTGTAGTGACACAGCTCGCTGTGACGTCACCCTTAGCAACGACGGACTGTAGGTTTCAACCCCCGATGCAAGTATGCCTGTAGACCGCCAGGCTTGACATAAGTACAATACAGAACGAAAGAACGAGCACAAATAGGCAATGGTATCGAAACAATCAAGAGGGCAAGCGAGATGACCGTGACAAAATCGTAACTTTAAGCTGACGAGTACGTGCTCATAGTACGGGCACAGGCCATAAGCATGATGTTATTTATTATATTTCAAGCAAACGCCTTGAACAATCAGTTATTTATTTTACAATGAAAAGCTGATTTCACGTCTTTGTCCATTTCCGAATAGAAAGTAATGAACAAGCCTATGGACACACCTTATAAAACATAAAACATCTCTCGGGACGCTATCGTCGAACGAGGTCGTTGACCGTATTTTCAAGTCACACTCCGAATTCGCTTCCAGGTATACAACCTGTTGATTCTGTAACTATTATTAACACATATATATTTTGATTAATGCAATCCGTGAGAACAAAACAAGTAGTTTTTGTCTTCAAGGTACATTATTGTGTGTCATTGTCTGTCGATTTGTTTAGCTGTTAGCCACCGAAGAATCCTATCCTAATTACCATCCTGTTATAGGCGGCCATTGCGTACGGCTTGTTAGATAGCGGGTTTGTTCTTGTTCACGTACTCTACAACAATAGTCAAGACAAACCAATCAGTTCATATACTTCAAATGAAAACCTTGGAGACTCTAATAAAGCCTGGCCATGAGCTGATGATATATGGTCTGTATATCAATAGTCGAATCAGCAACTTGGCTTTAAAAACTAAATATTTCCCACGACTGTTACTCCCCCATCTTTATTTTGTATCATAGTTCCATATGTACGTCGCAGTATTCGAACACACATGACAACCAGTAATTTATTCGCAATATAATAACTACGTAAAAACCTAGAATATTACACCTGACCAAATAAGGACTCTCCCTCGTTTTTGCATATTAGTTTAACACGTTAATATTTTCCCTTGGTGATTAACCAAGAAACATGGGCACAAACATGTTGCATCACTGTTTGGTACAAACACCATAAATGTTATCAATGATCTATTGTGTCGTCTTCTACACTAACTAAATTCCCATACTTTGCTATTGTTATGCGTGAGTTATAGGCATGTTTGTTTATTTTATTCTAGCTTGAAAACAGTTTAACATTGCTCTTTAAATGTGTGCAATGTGTGAATGACAAATGCTGGTAAACATAAAAGCTACCGTGGAATATTTAATTTTGATTTATCTTGAAAAGTTGTTTGAAGTATACAGACGTGTTCAAACTGTTAACGGAGATACGATTATGTAATTCGTTCCTGGAAACGTTAAGACTGCTGTGAATTACAGTGAATGAAGTGAATTGTTGTATCTTCAAATCGTTATGATTTCGTATGAGTGTTTATCATGAATACACATTCACGCGGGCGTCTTTGATGAAGTACATGGACGGTAAGATAGGCAATGGAGTGTACAAATTTAAGATCTATTGTCAACCACTGAATTCAAAAATAGTTCACCAGAAATGGGCTATAATATTTTAAGTTCTCAATAATAATATACGAGTAGTATATATTCTTCAGCGATGACTCATTCATTGTTCAAATGTCGCGCATACAATTATGGCAGATATCATACACATATTTTTCAGGGTGATGTGGGAAAGATGCGTGCGAATGGATCATCACATGCAATCGCCGTATAGATAACAGCAGCAAATATACCGAACCATGAGAGAAAATGTAAGCGATATGTGATGAGTCTTCACATTACAATAGAGGACCTTAAGAAGGTCACGCAGTCTTTGTTCAATGAGAGAAAAAAAGCGGTAGTGGTTTTATTGCTACAAACAATGCTTTTAAACAGGAACACTTCAGTTTCATTTGAACAACCTTCACCATTCAATTACACCATTTCAGTAGTCACAATTGTCATCTAATTTACAACAGTCCGGGACGCATCTGTTCTTTAGCAAGTCACGAAGGATTGATGGAGCACGACGTTTGAGTTTTCACTCGACTGTTGTTGGCTAAGAAACCGAAATTATCAGGCAATTCTTTAATGCCCTTCGCGAATCGCAGTGGGAAGAATGGAAGTGTTAAGACAGTGAATAAATAAATACAGATAACAAAGTGTGGGTTTATTTACCATAACTGTAATTGTGAAATATGCAGGTTAACCGAATTTATCGTTAGAGGTGTTGCCTATGCACCGAATAGAGGCTTTATGGTCGCATTTGTTCTAGATCCATTATATAGTCAGAATGGGGATTTAACATTAGATAAAATAGTGTACTTATTTAGAAATGTATTATAATAACATATAGCACAATATTAAACACTATACACTGACAGGCAAACAGACACTGAAATTTCCAAAAACATAATGAGAGAAACATGGATACAATGCACCGAGTAGATTGCTCAGTTTTACTCGAAGTAGTGTTAACTTCCGGAAGGAACTTTTTACTGGACAACCTTTCGGGATATTTCATAAGCTTTAAGAAACATGAAACACAAACAACCACGTTCTATCCGAATCGTATTTTTTCCCATTGTATAGAACGAACTCTCGCGCATGATCAGTCACCTAACCAATTATAATACACCAGCACCGCAACGTTATAACGTGCCATACAATAACAAGTATAGATAACAACATATTCAAACATTATCAAAATTCATATTCATCAAACGGAAAAAAACTACACAACTGATAATTACAATTAATAGTAGTCAAATCAGTAAGAGAATAACATATGGAGGTCGGAGAAATAGGACGAGGACAACTGAAATTAAAACAAAACGGCTGCTAGTTGGTTAAATTTTATTGAAATCTCATATAAATGTACACACAAAAAAACGCTCTTTAAACGGACCTTGACCTGTCCTCACATATCCAACCATTCACTGAATACTAGTATTGTGGATGTAGATATATTAATCTTCAAAGCGTACACATGTTCTGTATATGTAACCGTCATCGAAGACGAGTTTCATTTCATTCTACAAAGTGATCTTTACACCATAATGTAAGACAAGTAATATAGATAAACAGCTAATGTCAGCAACGTATTTGTATTTTACGCCTTCTATGCCAGAGAAAGGAACAAACTTTCAACAAATCTATCACATAATTAATTAATTAATAATATTTTTTCATTCTGTTAATTTTGTATTCTTCTTCAAGGTATAAAGTATTGTTGTTGTGTACCTGTATTAACTATATTATGTTTAAAGGACTGGGGACCCGTAGTACACTAAGAAAAAAGCAATTGTAAAGAATATGCAAACCCTTAGATCTTGCAGCATTTTGAACAAAATCGACCAAAGAGAGTCAGAGACACGGAAAGAAAAACTCATAAAATGAAAAAAAAAATAATATGGCGACCAGTCGGCCACATTGAATCAAATCACACAACTGCCAGATATGTACTATTAACCCGTCATGCGTGATGTTCATGCCAAGTGTGAAACATATTGCGTAACTATTACAACCACCTAGATCTACCTTCTTCGCAGGAAAAAAAGTGAGTATAAAGTCAAGAAACAATGAAATAATATATCTTTACGGATTAAGCAGAAAATACTGACTGAAATTTACGAGGGGACAATTCTTGGACAAGAACAATGACGTAATTATAGCTGCATACGATAATTGGTATTCACTTTTCTCATTACTACATATTTTGCATTAATTTCAATCTCCCTTATAGAATAATTTAACACGAACTATAATATTAAAGTCCCCAAATAATAGTACAGCAATATATATAAGCAATTTCTATATATCTTGAACATTGCAACATTGCACAAGTATCTTGAAAGAATATAAACAAAACACAAAACCGAACTTGTTGGAACGAGAGTGGGTAGAAACGATGACAGACATTTTAATCATCGTATACCATTTTCTTGCATATACGATGATACGGACAAGTTGATAAAATCAGTCAAGATATGCCTAAGAACCCACCGAAAGTGTTGAAACTTTGAAATTTGAAGTGTTTGGACAAGAACGGCCCAGTCAGATACGTGCATATATATGTATATTATTATGTATTGTCTTTGCATCAACTAAACCTGACAAATCATGTCAAATAAATCATTAAATAACATCGGGCGCATGGAACTGAAAACAGAACCCAAAGTTTACCTTGCTTTAAATCCACTGTACCCTCTAAACCCACTGTGA